TTTTCAAAAATGAAATTCAGGCCCTGAATAAATGTCTAAAAATCCTGATTGGAGTATCACTATAAATAGTTATAAATTATAAAAAGAAGGCTTTAAAAAGATCGGTATCGGCAGATACTGCTTTCTGTGATCGGCCTCAAAAATCCTGATCGGAGCACCCCTACTTAACTGCCTGATTTTTTAAATTCATTGCAAAATGTAACTATATTACCACCCAGCTCTAATAAAAATTACTATTACACACACACACACAAAGATATTATAACCTTAAACATCATAATTGTCTGTAAAGCTGCTCTGAAACAATGTACTGTGAAAATCACTATACAAATAAATTTGACTAGACTTTTCAAGCACATTTCACAAAAAGAAGTTTGTTAGAATTCTGTTACCATAATTCCAGCAATGCCGATGCCAACGTATCCGATTATGAAGAGTGTTTCTTTATAGAAGTCTTCTATTGCTTTGTCACAATACTGAAAATATTTCAAAAGAACATTAGTTGAGTGTGGCAAACTGATGTAGTGTGTTAGTGTTAATGTTAATGTTAAAACAACACCCCATCTGTTCACTTCTACTGATTAACTGTTATAAAATGAATAGCTCTAGCTCTGAAATCTGATTGGATAAGCCTCTATCAAAGTTATAAAATAGCAGAGATATGCACATTTTATAACCAACAATTGTTATTACTTAATGAATTGGTTATAAATTAATTGAACTATGTACAAATCATTATAATGCACTACCAAATTATGCAGATATGGGCACTGAATATTTACTGTATTTTACGAATGTTAAAATAAAAAAAGAACATCATGAGCTATTTGACTACAAACTAAACACATTGCTTTTAAGTTATTTTTTGCAAGCAGTCAGTGAGACTTTTACATTGTTACAAAAGATTTCTGTTTCAAATAAATGCGCTTCTTTTAAACTTTCCACTTATCAAATAATCCTGAAAAAAAAACATTTACGGTTCACAAAAATATTAAGCAGCACAACTGTTTTCAACATTTCTTAAGCAGCAAATCTGCATATTAGAATGATTTCTGAAGGATCATATGACACTGAAGACTGGAGTAATGATGCTGAAAATTCAGCTTTGCCATCATAAGAAAAAAGTACATTTTAAAATATTTTAAAATAGAAAGCACGAATTTTAAATAGTAAAAATATTTCACAATATTACTCTATTTTATATTATATATACACACACATATGGGGCTGCAGCTGAATAGTTGTGGTGCACAAAACATGGACTTTCTATGGACCTAACATGCTTTTGCGGTCTCTTTTTCTCTAATGTGCTTTGCTGATTGGGATCAACTGACAGTATGAATTGACAACTGAAGCACAATATGACATGATGTTTCTCAGCCGATCAATGTGCCTTCCCGCCTGCTATAAATAAAAAAAAAAGGCTGCCTTTGTGCCCCTGTAGGCTTATCGGATCAAGTGGCTCATGGGACATCTTGCCACTGTCTGCTTCATTTCTCTTTCTAAGTCCCTCTTACCTCCTCACTCCACTGGTCTGTGTCCCTCCCTCCCTCATACACCGTACAGAACAGCATGGCTGCCATCTAAGGGTCTGTGTCAAAATTGCTCATCATTGGAGTATGAAACGTGTCCTTCTTTTGAGTCTAAGAGCACTATGCCAACAAGGTCTGAAGTTTAAGTGACACATAATAAAGTAAAATAACAGGTCACAAAAAAAAATGAAAAGCTACAGGGTATCATATGTGACCCTGGACTGAGCACAAAAGCAGTCTTAAGTCGCTGGGGTATATTTGTAGCAATAGCCAAAAAAGCATTGTATGGGTCAAAATTATTGATTTTTCTTTTATGCCAAAAAATCATTAGGACATTCAGTAAAGATCATGTTCCATTAAGATATTTTGTAAATGTCCTACTGTAAAAAAATCATTAGGATATTAAGTAAAGATCATGTTCCATGAAGATATTTTGTAAATGTCCTACTGTAAATATAGCAAAACTTAATTTTTGATTAGTAATATGCATTGCTAAGAACTTCATTTGGACAACTTTAAAGGCGATTTTCTCAATATTTAGATTTTTTTGCACCCTCAGATTCCAGATTTTCAAATAGCTGTATCTCGACCAAATATTGTCCTATCATAGTAAATCATACATCAATGGAAAGCTTATCTATTCAGCTTTCATAAATCCCAATTTCGAAAAATTGACCCTTATGACCGGTTTTGTGGTCCAGGGTCACATATGCGAGTAAGAATTGGCTGTGCTAAGTAAATAAAATGCAATGTGAATTACTGACCAACCTTACCAGGTGCGACAGTTTGTCTGTCTACATTAAATGCAAAAATGCAGAGTGACAATCTCGGCCAATCAGAACACGACTGATGTCTCATAAAACATATAGGTGGAATTTTGGACCAATAAGATTTAACTGTGGGTGAGGCTTCTTAGCTGAATAAAGTGCTGCAGGAATGACATTTGTAGGCCAAAACCCAGAAACAAGTTTGCACTTTAGCACTTCAGGTTCTTTGTCCTGAGTTTTTGGGGTAAAATGCCTAAAATGAGGTCTTTGTTTAACACCTGCTCAAGTTTTTTTTTTTTTTCCCATCAGAAAATAAACCCTTGTGATTAGTTAAAAGCTTTTTACTTTTCTTGAAAACGGCGGTTGCTGAAAGCGGCTAGTGTATAGATGTGTTTACATGTCCGAGGCTGTGAAAGCGGCTAGTGAATAGATGTGTTTACATGTCCGACATGATGACGATTAATATCCTGACAACCTCTGTAGTCCCATTTAGCCACTTAAATGGGACTACAGAGGTTGTCAGGATATTAATCGTCATCATGTCGGACATGTAAACACATCTATTCACTAGCCGCTTTCACAGCCTCATTGTGTTTAGAAACACATTCGTGCAAACTGAATGGTGATGTTCAAGTCATGCAACATATTTGAGCATACCGTGTCAGGACTGTCATCAGTGCACAGATCAGGAGGGTGAGAGGACTCAGTCCCGCAACATTCAAACTGTGAAAGAAGAATAGAAATGTCAGAAGATGATGGTGATACTGCCACTATAGCCACAGATCATTTACTAACAGTGTGTCTGTAAAACAAAAGCTCTACTTACCATTTTGTGATACATGGAAGTAATGGCGGTCCCGTTGTCATTTTCCATAGCAGACTGGTAATACTTTTGGACATCCTGAATGATCTAGAAACACATGTGAGAGTATCTGATCATATCACATCATTAGATGACAGTTACTTTCATATTTACGCTCAAACTGATACAGTGCGTGACATACCGTATCCTTATTCAGAAAGACAAAGACTCCAGCAGCGACCTCTGCGCCAAAAATTACAAGATATATATATATATATATATAAAATTATGTAAATAAACTTTTATTTTATTTATTTATTTTTGCACTGATAGGCTGTGCAAAATCAGACCAGGAACATGTATTAAGAAGTAAATAGGGTCCATTTCAGGGATGTAACGATTCGCAACTCACGATACGATTTTCTCACTTTTTTTTTTTTTTTTTACAAAATGAGTTCTAAGACAAATAATAAATGAAAAGGAGTCCTTTCATTATTTCTCAGACAAAATGCTGCACATTTCTTTGTGAAACTGAAACGTCAAATAACAAAACTAAATTGAAATTTTAAAATCAAATAAATAAATACAAATAAAATAAATCTCTTCATACAAACAAACTAAGGCTTTGTCTGTGCTCTTTCCATTAAAAACTAGAAGCATCCACTGCATTTTAATCACGATCCAAACAAAGATGCTGCATACATGCAGCATGAGCAGTTTTTGATTTACATTAGATTAAATAATTTCAAAATTTAAAGCAAAAACAGAATGGTCTGACTTTAGTTTTGTGAAACTATACTACATAATAAAATCTGAACGAAACAAAAACAGCAGAGGGGCTGCTTGATATGCAAAATCACTTTCTGACAGCAGGTGGCGCTTATGGAACAGCAGTGATCCAGCGTTTCCTTGGTTACCACTGTAAACAAAGCAGTGCTGCCATAAGGAACACTACTTTAATATGCATTATACCAGAGTCCCTTTAAGGCAAGTCATGTCACTTGGCGGCCATCTTCGAAACGCCTCTCGGGCATGCAGGTGCAGCTCCTATCACTTTGTATGGGGAATCATCAAATTCTCCCAAACTGTTCACTAAGCTTATGATTAAATATCAAATTTGAAATCACCAATGAAATCTGACAACAACTGTGTCATAAATGTTGTTTCTTTTGCTCAAATAGCATTATAAAAACCTTATATTTCAGGCTAGATCAGCCAGTGCGCATGCGCAGTCCTGAGCGCAGGTCTCAAAGCGCTGACTGTTTCTATAGCAACCGGGACTTCTAACGGCAGCTGCAGTGACGCGTTGACTTTACCGATTAGCGATTGGCTCTTTTGCTCAGAAGGCGGGGCTTCCTGCGATTGAGCGGCCATATTAAGCGTTGCATTTTTCCCCATTCAAAACTATACGAGTGACACGTCTTGGGTATTCACAGAGACGAGTTGAAATGAAAACACCATCTAAACATCTTTTCTGAAGACAGTCAGTTCTCCTAAGAGATACATTCATATAAACCCCCACCCCCAAATGTATCACGATTCATTTAATACCTCAACCGACTTGAATCGTCACATATTTTTATTTAATATTTATTTTCAGCCACCTCGGCTGAAACATCCCTAGTCCATTTTGATTTCATGTTGATTTTAAATGCTTCAATGTGGACAAAAAAAGAGCTTAGGTCAGTTTTATTCTTCAGTTTTAAATCGCAAAAGTGGTGCTTTAAAGCGATCACAACATTTAGTGTCCATACAGGCAGTAGATGGGGATGGTGGATTGTTCATTTACTGTTGCGTAGTTCTTACCCACCGATCCCAGAAGACACTGTGACTCCCTCACGGCCCCAAAGCAGCCGAAGAACCCCACCAGCATCATGACACCTCCTGCTCCGATCAGGATGTACACCGCTGAGGGGAAGCCAAGAGTACAGTGTAATGTTTAGAGTTAGGCCATTTCATGTTAAACTTCAATCCACAAACACCCCAGCATGCAGTTCACTGTATGACCAGATGATGGCAGAACATGAATAGATCTGTGTAAGGAAATCATCTGTTCATTTTCAACTGTAAAAGTACTCATATGGATATGGAAAATAATATTTTCTAGTTATGTTAAGCTCTGAGATGCAGATTAGCATTTGCTATTATTCGCATATTTTTCAGCTTTTCAGCTGGATTCATGTTCTTTATAATGTCCCTATTTAAATGAACAAATAAATAAATAAATAAAAACTGCTGGGAAAATTCTATTTGTGAGTAGAAAAATAATGACAATAAATAATTATAAATTGTTATTCTGGTATTATTTATATACTATAATAGTTTTCTATTAATTCTATTATTCTATTTTGAATTTGCATTTATTTTCAGATTTCAATTTGATTTAATTTTTAGTAAGTTTTTGTTATGCACTTTTGTAATTTTTTTCTGGGTTTTTAAATATTACTATTTAGGTTTAATGTATTTTTATTTCAGTTTTATTTTTAGATCAGTTTTACATTTGATTTATTGGCAGTTCAACACCATCATTACACTTCAACACCAAGGCTACTTTTTTAGTTTTTCACCCAAAATTGATATTTATTTTATTTCAGACTTATTTCAATTAACAAAAACGTTTTTACAATATTTTAATGATAACAATCCTACATTCATTGGTCATAAAGAGTACTTTATGCAATTATTTTAATTTATTTTAATTTTAAATAATTATGGTATCTAATGATTTTAATATATATTGACATTTCTTATTCGCATATTTTTCAGCTTTTCAGCTGGATTCATGTTCTTTATAATGTCCCTATTTAAATGAACAAATAAATAAATAAAAACTGCTGGGAAAATTCTATTTGTGAGTAGAAAAATAATGACAATAAATAATTATAAATTGTTATTCTGGTATTATTTATATACTATAATAGTTTTCTATTAATTCTATTATTCTATTTTGAATTTGCATTTATTTTCAGATTTCAATTTGATTAAATTTTTAGTAAGTTTTTGTTATGCACTTTTGTCATTTTATTCTGGGTTTAATGTATTTTTATTTCAGTTTTATTTTTAGATCAGTTTTACATTTGATTTATTTGCAGTTCAACACCATCATTACACTTCAACACCAAGGCTACTTTTTTAGTTTTTCACCCAAAATTGATATTTATTTTATTTCAGACTTATTTCAATTAACAAAAACGTTTTTACAATATTTTAATGATAACAATCCTACATTCATTGGTCATAAAGAGTACTTTATGCAATTATTTTAATTTATTTTAATTTTAAATAATTATGGTAACTAATGATTTGAATATATTGACATTTCTAGTTTCTGTGAATAAAAAATGAAAATAAGCAGCTTTCTCATTACCTTAAAGGATAAAACAGCTGATATAGAGAACTATTAGGTAAAAGAAACATGAACAAACCTTTATTATTAAACTTCAACGTGTAATCTAGCTCTCTCATTTACAATACAGTGTTCTAGGATCACTGATGTAAAACCAGTCTATCTCAGCATTCTCACTTCATGGTGGTTTACGAATGTGAACCCAGGTGTACTTTTAGATGATTGAGAATGAAAGCAGCTGATTCTAATTTTATAAAGTTTCTGTGGGCATTTCCTGACAGATGGTCAAAAATCAAAATCACCCTTACGTGTTACAGTACTTTCCCACACGATGCAAACTACAGTCTCACACAAAAACACAAGGCACAAAAGCTCACTGCAATTCTTGTGTTTTGCATCTTCTATGCAGGGAAGTTTGAGACAGTGTGAAATGCGTCTCCTCACATATCTCCAACAAGAAGAGTGTCAAAGGCCTCGGCTCAACAGAAACAAACAGTCTTTGTGTGCAGTACACACACAGACACCACAAGCTCACCCAGTGCCCTGAGACCATAATCGTATTTACTGGCGAGATTCTTTCCCCCAAACCAGTTAAGAACAAATTTCAATCTCAATCATGCAGTGAAGAAAAGTTCAGATTTTATGGATTAAGTTCAGTAAAATCATGAACGGATCTGACCAGGTCAGTTTTCACGTAACTGATCTGTGTAAAAAAAAAAAAAAAAAAAGTACACGTGTTTACATGGTTACTCATCAAAACAGCCATTCTCACATAAATTTGTGTGCATATGCTCAGGAAGATGTGAAAGAGAACTCAATTTGGTACTTGCGTGCTGTCTTTTTGCATGCATGCACACAGAAACGATCTATCACAGCGCGAGTACTGCATTGAAATCTCTTTCGCGCTGTCTTGCACTTTAATGGCTTAAAACACTTCAATGTTTAAACTGACAAGACTTAAAACACGTGAGAATGATAAACTTTCTTGAGGAAGCAGCACTAGCCCGATCGTTCAGATGATTAGGTGATTAGTTTTAGTGTCCTGTTAACAGCAGGTAAGATAATTATATTCACAGGTGAACATAAAATATGTTACATACCACTACTGCTGAGCGAGCCAGTGTAATGGAAATATGTCTGAAAGGTCTGACATAACAATAAGATGCCACATGAACGATATTGTATGAAGCGTTGTTTGTTTACACGTTGTTTTATCATGTTGTGGCTTGCATTATGAAAACAATGTTTGGGATACCACGATCAAAACTTCATTATGTAGAAAGTTTGATGCTGGACATTCATCCAAATTATGGTGAAAACCAAAAACATTTGTGTGTTCAAAAAGTAAAGAAATGCTTATATTACTTAACTAGCCAACGGAGCAAACCAACCCCGTGATATCACACGCTGTGATATTGCAAGATGACGGCGCCTTGCTCCAAAGGCTATAACAAAACATCCTTTTTTCTTTGAAATTGTTACATTAATAATGTTTGTTATATATATTTTAATTAAAATGGAAATCAGTTTACTAAATAATGTAAACTTGGCTGACTGCTTCACTTCCACTTTAATATTATAATGTCTGTGATTTATTAGTATCTTATTGGTTAAATAGAATTGGACCACAATGTATTTTGTTGGGTCTGATTTTTTCACTTACATTAAAAAAAATAGTAAGACAAAAGTCAAATGCAAAATTATATGTGCCTACATTTACATTTAGTACATTTTCACAAATTCAGATGAATCCGTTGCACCAGCAAAACTTTTAATATTCTAGTCTTTGAAAACACACAAAAAAAGTATGCTTTAATGTAGGGGTGGGCGATCTTCCCAAAATATCATATCACGATCTTATAAAGCAAAATCACGATACACAATCTAAATCGTGACCTTCCTAATTTTGAGATGTATTG